TGGATTGTACTCTAACACCTCAGATCAGCTTAACACCTCAGATCACTGCACAATGACAAAGGGTAAGGAAAAAATGCATACATTCACAGTCTCAACAGAAATATATGATTACACTTTTTTCAGTTTCATTTTACAAACACAGACACAATCAAACAAATCCACAAGGACAGATTATAAGTCATTATATAATTATTTTCATTTGTATTACATGAGTTTCACGATACACGGATTATCTGTTTTAATGCATCGGACAGTTTGGAACCACATAAAGCAGTATAATATAAAATAATATAACAGTTACATTAAACTCAGGAACATCACATGGCCAGTACATCCAATATGCCAATGAAAGACAGTCAAAGCATGAGACGCGGTAGATATCTTTCATTTCTAAACAATAAGCAGCTTTGGAGAAAGGACTGTAGGACAAGAAGGGGAGGTAGTTACTTCTGAAAATTCAAAAACATCTTACCAGAAATTTTATAAAACAAATTATTTTTCAGAGGTATCTTTGCCATACAGATTTTGACGTCAGATTAACATATTAACAAGATTTTTTTTCTCCAGGATTTGTGAAATTTGCATGGAGAAACTCAGATGGTGTTTTGAAGTTTATCCAGGTGAAGCATAATTTAAATGTAATTATTAAAGGTTATTTTTGATGTTACTCCTTCCCTCAGCAAAGGTTTTAAGGGTTTTTGCTCTTTTATTTAATCAGGAGCAGGTAAAAAGTTAATTAATAGAATACCATTGTCTAAGGGTCTCTGTATTCATTGACCACAGTCACATAAACAGGATATGTTTTTCCACTTTACGCATCTCAGTACTTCTTGAGATCAGAGCAGAGATCAAAGGAATGGAGGCAGGTAAGACAATAAAGGGCCTGTGGTATTGTGCGTTATGTACATCTCTTAGCCATAAACTCAGAACACTGAATAGATTACAGATTCACTTTGCCCAGTAAAATTTGGGTTTCACAGGCTACTGTTGGCATTTTGTGGAATCCTGAGATGCCCAGACCTCTGGAAATGTCCTATTTCCTATTTTTTTCATTTTATTGAAGTAGATACCATGATGATCTCAGACCCCTAATCACCTTACTGAAAGACACAAGCCTAGGGAGAGAACTATTTGATTTGGATTGTATCTGGTAATCATGGATTAAGTCCAGGTCTTAATTATAAATAGAACTTCTGGTTACAGCATAGGTTCTTGAGCAATCATTTTGTATTTTTAAATTTCTACCTAAGACCTCTAGAACTGAGTCATCGATGTACATTTATGGCCTTTGAATTAATGAAGCAGTTAATGAATTGAGTTAGCAATTTCTAACTATGCAAATCTCTAAATGAGGTGACTAATGACCCTCAGTGTACAACGTGGTATCTGTGTGGCTGATTTAACATCTGACCTCGTCCTCTGAGGGGGCCAAGGTCATTGTTGATGAATGACTTAGTTTTTAGTGGATCCTATGGTTGCTAGTGTACATAATTGACTCTCAGAAACAAATACATGCCCTAGAGCAGACAAGCAAAAAGCCTACAAGTACAGAAAGCTAAGAAGAGAAGAAGAAGCCAGGATGTTAAAACAAATCAACCCGACTTGGACCAACAGATGTCTATCGTTCTCTTAAGCTTTGTGACAATGCACGTTATCAGGTTAAGGGCATGTCAGCAATACTTTCCTGCATTGCACCTGCGTCTTTGAAGCCTTGGATTTTTACTATTGTGCTTGAGCCGAAAAGGCAAAACAAGAAATTTGTCCACTGAAGCACACACAAGGCTTTCATCAATGGGAAATCTATGTTAGTGACACTGGGGAGGGTAATGCAGAGTCATTTTCATTTTTTCTGTATGCATACAAGCTTCCACTGTGCATGCATTGTCCTTTTTAGGCCCAGGCATGCGATTTGAAGCCTTTCAAAAGCATATCAATATGTTTTTAAATTGAGGAGTCTCGATTCACAGGGTGGGGGAGCCGGCATATCCTTAAATCCTATCAATTTCTCGTTAGACAAAATAAGTTACACTATTCACATCAGCTCTATGGTAATTCATTTAAGCAATAAATACAAAAATCTGTGGAACAGTTGCTGGTTGGACCTTGGATCATTTTGTCATTCCCTTTCAGGTTTCTCCATTCTTTTACATAAAACAAGTAAAATTTACTTTCCAATCTATACGCTTTTCTTGCAAAAACAGAACTTTTTTTTTTTAAATAAAAGTAAAGAAAGGCACTTTGTAAACTATATACAAATCTGCTTCTTTCTTGTCTACACTAAGGAGATAGAGAAGACAATAAAGGCAGGGCCAAGTCTTTTTGCAAGTGACTACAGCCATGGAGAATCTCAAGAAAGGGCCAGATCTCCTCCATAGCCAAACCACATCCTGGAGCTCTTGAACTCATGGCTTCTCTGATTCACTTGGGCACTACAGGACAAGGGGTCAAACTCCTTGGTCTGATTCAGGTGGTAAGGGACTGACCCATGTTGGACCAAACCAGCAAAAGCAAGTTTTTTGTACAGACCTACCTACCAGGATTGGCCTTAGGCACTTAGGAAAATGGACATTCTGTTAAATGTCAGGGATGCAGCTGATAATAACTTGGGTTCACGCCGAGGTGCCTTAAATCCATTCGTTAAAACCGACCAGAGAACATTTTGTGGTTGGGGTTAGAAGATTCCATAAATCACCCATTGGCTAGCTCGTCTCTATGTGCTTTGTAATTTGAATATTTAGGTGTTTATAAAACCATGACTTTTTATAATTCAGAGTGTATGGTTCTGTAAAAACCAACCATGCAATAGTGGTTTATAATTCATCAGAAAGAAATAAAAACCAGAAGCCACTTTTTTCTAAAAATCAAAGGCTCATTCAGTATGTCTTTAAAAAAAGAAAAACCAAAACAGCTCATGCATCTTCCCTCTACACACATACTTACATGTTATCTTAGACACTGATGCTGTATCTACATAATTTATAGCATGCTTGTGTCATATGTTAAGACCGACTAGAACTGATGATTTAAAAGTGAAATCAGAAGAGCCCATCCCTGGTGAGTGCTTGTGTGTCTCTGATGAAAGGCAATGATTAGTTAGCTTACTTACGATCAAAGCACTGGGTAAATTATCTTTGCTGGAAAATATTCAATGAGTCATGGAATCAAGGAGCCAGAGTTTGAAAGGATAGTAGAGATGATTGGCCTGGCATTTTCTTCAGAGGAAACTGAGGCCCAGGAAAGGCAATTGTTCTGTCGAAGGCAACAGAGCCAGGATTGGAACCTGGGTCTCTTGACCCCCATGTCTGGATCCTTCCATTGTACCAGCTGTCTCCTTGATAGGAAATGTGCCAGAAGATGAAAAAAGAATCCCACTTGATTCTAATAAAGGGTGTTAATTGACCATGGAATTGTAATCTTGGCTTACTTAGTAAGTGGCTAACTGGGGTATCTTGGAGATTTACTTCAAGGTGAGTCTTTCACCATAATATTTTTTCCCCCCACACATGCCGAGTCATATGCCAAACAGGTTATTTATGAATTTTCAAATTATCAGAGTGATTGATGTACATTTTGGAGGAGAATGGACTATTTTGGGAGAAGTTTGGTCTGGACTGGCTTGGAAAGGTAGAGTTTTGGCAGAGTCTATCCCACATGGAGTATATTACCTAGCCTTCTTGGAGTTGTATGTACTTTTGCAAAGTTATCGTCTATCACCCTGTAAATTTGAACCCTAGATGGATTTTTCAAAAAGTGTGCCTTCTCCTTACATAGAGGGTCACTGTGTACACGTGAGACTTGACCTGTATTTCTGAGAGAGGATTGTTTCTGGGCACTAACACACCTTTAGCGGAAGTGGTCACCTGGGACAGTGCTTCTCAAACTTCCTTGTGCACATGATTCATCTGAGGACCATGGTAAGATTGGGATTCTTTAGGTCTGGGTCAGGGGATCAGAGAGTCTGCATTTCCAGGCAGGGTCAGGCGATGCTGAGACAGCTGGTCCTCAGGGCCTACTTTGAGTAGGAAGGACCTAGGGCACTGGATGAACTTGGGCAACTTTCCCAAATGTTCCCCTCACTCTTAATGCTGGTATATATTGGGAGAAGAGAACTCAGATCGATTTACTCTGGCATTTCTGGAAGCCCTAGCGATGTGTTCACTTGCAAACATCAGGGCCATGGCAGAGTCCGGTTCCTGTCAGCATGGGCTTGCTGGGGGTTGGCTATTTAACTCCCAGAGTGGAGTTCCTATTCCCTACGTCCAGCTAGTGAGTGAACACAGAGAATGGCTTTGCCATCAGATGAAATGAAAAACAGAGGGAGGCTGTTTCATGAGTCACGAATGCTCTCTTTTAAAATGGAGATCTGGGCGTTTGAATGCCCTCTTCTCTCTCTGGAAGGCTGCCCTTGGAACAGACGTGGGGATTCTTGCTACCAGACCCTGCCTTTGTAGCTGTTGCCACCACTCCACAGATGCCTGCCTCCTTAGAACTTGTATTTGAACGCTTCTGGGGTGAGTCCTGTCTCTGCCTCTGCCAAGGTTTCGCAAATGGATTTACTTCAGAGAGATACTAACTCTTGGCTTTGCTTACATTTTCTTGGCTGCCCAGAATTTCTCAGAACACCCAAACCAGAAAAACCCTCTCTCTAAAACAGTATGTGAGAGGTCATGGCTCACCTTTTCATGGTGGTTTTATGACTACCCGGAGAAGAGCAGAAGCCCCAGAGTAGCCCTAAAATGACAGAAGTGATTTCTAGTCTGTGAAAAGCCCTAAACTTTCTAGGCTGGCGACTGTTCAAAGTATCACACAGATAAAAAGAATCAGACAAACTATAGTACGCTGTGCAGGAAATTGAATATACTTCCTATTCCTCAGTGGGCTGTGGGTTGCTATGGCGTTTTACTCCACAAACAGGGACGGCATATACTACTACATACTGCAAATACTCATTATAATCTCAGAGCAGAAAATACCGTACTCACTAAATACGTAAACAGCTGTACTGGGAAGATAGAAAATAGTCTTTTATTTTACCTAAGTGATAGAAAAATAGTCTTCAAAAATACATTGTGAAACTTACGGGTTTATATTAAAGTAGAATTTGTATGTACAGTAAGGCAGTATTTCCATTAGCATCCTGCTGTGATTATCTTTTAAAATTAGTCTTTGGGGATTTGTTTTTTTTTTTTTTTTTTTTAAACCTAACAGGAGACTAGGGTGTATAATAAATGATCTCTTATGCTGGAATGAAACAGGAAAACATTTTAGAAGAATTTACCACATGAAACTCATTTACCTGCCATGTTAGAAAATTTCATTTTCCAAAACTATTTTCTCTAGAGGCTTCAGAAGAAAATACAACTCAGGGGGAGGGAAAAAAAAATCCATACTTATTAACAAACTCAAACCATTTTAAGAAAAAACCGGAGGCATCATTTTGGCTTGCATATTGGCAATGTATCACTAAGGGGATAGGAACCCATGTAAACAACGTGTCCAGTCTTCTGGAATGCATTCTTTCTTCAAACGGGTCATATTTGGTTAATCCGAATAAAATGAAAGAGGAGTGCAAAAGTTAAGCAAAGGTCAAGCAAAGGTTTGTTGGTTTTCAAAAGCGGTTTTCATGGCATTTTTCTCACATCTATCATCTTCCTGTGGTAAACAACTGTGAGTATTTCATTTTCTTCTGTCACATGTCAAACCATGAAAGCCCCTTCCAGAGGATATACTTAACGGCGCTGTCCCTCAAGAATACTAAACGGTGTGTTTTTATTTCATTGAACACATAATTTTATAACTAACAGAAAAAAAAAGTCAATCTACAAATCACAGGAGACAAAACGATTTGTTCTGGAATCAGCTGTTGGAGAAAGAGGCAGCTGGTTGAAAATGGTGCATGACGAGAGAACTATGGGCTGTATAGTGTCATTCTAACCACATTCTCCAGCATTCTCTAGTAGGGTGCATTTCCCGTACTTTGTAGTGTTACCTGAAAAAAAAATCACATTTTAACCAATCATTCCGTGAATCAAGCTATCACTGGAAGGAGTGCATAAAACACGTGGGATCCAGGTAATCCAACCCACCCAGCTGGAGTCCACAGCTGCTTGGGGCTGAGGAGAAGGAGGCCAGGTCTTCTCTGGCTGGATTCTGCTGAAGAGATGGTGGAGCCTCCTTGGCTGGTTCTTCAAACATAGCCAGGTTCTGAGCTCGCGGATCCTGCACTAATACCAGGATGTTGTTATCCATCACCCGGGACACCTTGGCATACTCCTTACTGCCTTCACAAGTACCGGACTTCTCTGTCTGGTGGCTGTTCTCTTTCTGTTTTGGGAGCAGTGACAGTGCTCCGTCTTTGTTAACCTTGTGAATCTCCACGTAATCCAAGGGTTTCACAGAGATAAAAGGGGTTTTCTCCTGGGGCAACAGCCATGCTGTGCCTTGGTCAGTCTTGGAATGGAAGCTTTCCACTTCCTTCTGCTCAGCTGCCTTTTCCTCCCCTCCAGTCTTGGTGGTTTTTGAAGATCTTAAAGCTTGTGTGTCTGTTTTGTCCAACAAGATGGCCGATGTCCCCGTCACGCCCAGGGCCAGCTTACACATGTCAGCGATGTTGTGGTAAGAAGATCTGGGGCTGTGTTGGCTAGGGGGTTGTGGTAAAGGCCATGTTGAAGATTTGGAGCCGTCAGCAGGGAAATAGGGGATTTTGCCTTCTAAGCGTGCGCTCTGGGCGTCCCGAGTGTGGGTAACCTTTGTTTGGGGATTCTCTGGCTTCTCGATGCCCTCAGGAGTGTTAAATGTGGAGGGATTTGCCCGGGCTTCCTCACACTTTTTAGACAAAAGGGAAGGGCTGTCGCAGCTGCCTCGGCCAGAGTCACTGTCTGGATCCAGGGATGTGGGCTTCTTATCTTGCCCCGGGTGTTCTTTCGAATGGGCCGGCATCAGCTGCTGGTCCTCGCTGTCATCCACTTCCAAAAACTCCACCAGCAAGTCCTCACAGTCGGAAATGGGAGGGAAGTCTTGGCACCCCAGGGCACTCAGCAATTCTTCAGACTTGCCCTTCTAGTAAAAGGAGAGACGGCCGTTAGCTTCTTATCATTTCACACTGGCATCACAGCCAAGCCCGCAGTCTTGACAAAGGGTGTGTGGGACGTGCTAATGGTCTCCCAGAGTTTCCCAAATGTCAGACATGTTGGTATGAGGCTATCTATAATCACCTCCTGGACTACTATACATCCCATATTTTTCTTTCAGTCAATTCATGATTTTAACTTAGTGTCTTAAGCAGTCATGATTATGAGTTTAATGGGCTAGTAGTATATGCACAAATAATAAACATATACCTATTAAATACGAAGTTTGTGAAACATCAAAAACTACAGTGCTCATGCCCGCATTTGGTGTTTTGGGACCCACGGGCCCTGAGATCTGGTTGCTGGTCTCCTAACCAACTCCATCACCTTCTGGAGTCTGGCAGTGGTCAGTAGATTCTTGTCTCTTTCTTCTTTCTCAACTCTTCCTCTTCATACTTCTTCCTTACTCCTCCCTTCTCCTCCTACTGTACTCTTTTCTTTCCTTATGCTCCATTTCCTGTCCTTCCTCCTACCTCTCCCTCTCTCCCTGCTGTCCCAGTTTCCTTCCTCTCCTCCTCTCTGTTCTCCTCCTTCTCTCCTCCTCCTTGCCTCTTGTTTTCCACTTTTCTTCCTGATCCCTTGACTTTGGTCAGGAAATGGTACCCAAATCTTGACTCTATCACTTTTTAAAGGGTACTGACTTTGGATGGGCTTCTCTATGGTCCTTACTTTCTCCATCTGTAAAATGGGAATAACAGTACCCATTTGCGAGAGTTCTTTTGAAGATGAGAGGTAATTGTGTTTAAGAATATGAAAACTTTGTGTGTGTGTGTGTGCGTGAGAGACACACACACACACACACACACACACACACACACAGTAGTTATTTTATTATTAAGTCCCTGTGGCCACAGGATCAAATTTTGAGCTAGACAGTATTTAACTTACTTAGTTAAGATGTTCGTGCTGGCTCTATGAAGGTCAGTACTAGAGACGGGTAGTGCGGTAAGAGCACTGGACCAGGAGCCCAAGTTCTGGGGCTCTAATCCCTGTTCCAATACTTGCAATCAAACTGAGTGTAGTCAAGCCAAATTCCCTGGGACTCACTTTTCACATTCTTGCTGTGTTGTTAGCCTCACAGTGGCTGGGTCAAGGGAGCTAATATGCAGGCCATTGCTTTTAGATACGGGATTGTTAAGCTGAAGTCAAACTGAAACCATATATTTCCATCTGGGCAGAAACATAAAATGTCCTAACCCCTCTTTTTATTCAAAACAGTTGAATTTAAATCCCTTTTGCATCAGCCTAAGTGGGCCTGGGCAAATAGCAGCCCCCTGGACTGATCCAGTCTCTACTGAGTCCTCACGGTGAGCAACAATTACAATAGGATACTGCAATTGTGCAAAGAACACTCCAGTGAAAACTTTAATGGAAGTATGACAAAGGAGGTGGTGGTGGGTCCCTGTTTCATATTAATCAAAATATTCACCCTCTTTCTAAATTGGTTATTTGCACAAAATGTTTATTTCTGTGCTTATGAACAGACCTGTTCTGTTCATAAGTAATACTTACCTTGCAAGTATTACTATGTGTTTTCATGTTTTCTTGGCTTTCTCTCCTTGCCCTCTGACATCTAGTGTCTGAACGTTAAGGACCCTCACACCTCCAGCCATCTTTCTGTAAACACATGTGCCAAGGAGCAGGGCAAGCTGGGCAGGGACTTAGCCTGCCAGGCTGAACTGATGGCAATTGTGTGTGCAAGTGTCCAGGTCATGATTACAAAGCAGTGAGTCACGCTACCTTCTCCACCTCTGCTACTTACCTCCAGCAGATGAGTATCAAATCCCTTTATTTTTGGCCCAGGAACTGGTGGAAGGATGCAGGTGACCATGCTATAAAATAATTTGTGAAGAAGAATTAGATGACTCACTTTCTCACTTTGTAATTTTTGAAAGATCAATATTCTTTAACTGCCTGTTACATGGGCTATGGTGGACAGGAGTTAGATTTCTGGAGCTCCATGAGACTAAAGATCAATGGCAAAGACAATAATTTTAGGGGCTGACATTGTAATTAGCTCTGGCTCCTAGAGGAGGCCGATGTTGAAATGAGTAGATTTTTGGGACTACTTGCTTCTCTTGATTGGAGCTGCTCTTAATGAGAGTTTAACTAATGCACCACTGGTTTGATGGAAAGAGCACCAGTTTCAAAGGAGTCCATCCTGTTCCTTTTGCTAACACTGATAAAAGATTTTCTATGGACACACTGTAGCGAATGACTCAAAGAAAGTGTGCTTGACATATCTGTAGGTTTCCAACATCTTTGCATTATCCTTTTTGCTGCAATTCCCGACAGCCATGATTGGGAGGAGGGTTGACAGACAGTGAAGTACCCGACAGCCATTATTGGGAGGAGGGTTGACAGACAGTGAAGTACCTATGGCCTTTCAGAGCCACGGCTGCGACCATAATCAGACAGATGACTGCGGAGAGAACGGCCACAAAGATCCATACAATGGTATCTTTCATGGAGACGTCTAAAAAGCAAACAGAAAGATTTGATCAAATCAAAGCATCATTAAAAACAAAAAAACACAGCGAAAAAGCAGAAGTTATGAACAAAACAGTTCTCCCCACTTACCTATACCTCTTTTGATTTGAATAACAATCCAAAGAGAGTAGCATCAGTGACACATTTAATTTTTATTATTAAATCTTAGTATGTTGCATATGTTTTTACAGTACTCTACTAATTTCAAAATCCTTTTACATATTATTTTATTTGATCCTTTAAGAGGAAATTCAAGGTCACATGGTCCATTGCAGTAATAATAATAAAGGCCATCATGTATTAAGTTCTTGCTAAAGCCATCGAGGGTGCTAAACCCTTTACATACACTGCCTGGTATATAAAGATGAGGAAATGGAGGCTCAAAGAGCGATTTCCCCACAAATGTGTAAACTATAAACTACTGTTGGGATTTGAACCTGGACCTTCTGCCTCTAGACACTGTGCTTTTATTAATTAATAAGAGCCAAGGCTGAACTGGATGCATATATGAATCTTACGACCCACAATTCAGGGCTGTTTCAATGCCAAGCCAATGCAAGCTTTGTGCTTTGGCCGGGCGAGTTGGTAGAAGAGCTAGGCTTTGCCATGTGGTTCTGGGTAAGATCTCTAACTTCACTGAGCTTCATTTTCCTCATTTTTGATTCCTAATGCTAATCTATTCTCTCTGAAGACCTGAGAAGGTTGGAAAGGGTAAGCAAGGTCAAGACTTTATAAACCATAATGTACTTTAGGAATGCAAGATGAATCATTCTCTTGTAGAGCACAAGCCACCATGTTTATTGGCACTTAGAATTGGGTGTCTCTTTCATACTGTACCTTCATACAAGGGTCAAGATGTAATTGACATCATGGACTGAAAATTGATTAATGCCTTTGAAGTGGCAAACCACCTTACAAATTTTGGGACAACTAGATGATGACCTTGAGCAAACGGAGAGGGCAGAATGACTGACCATCAAACCCTTTGAGACATGCCAAACCCATGTTTGTAGTCTTATCCTAGAAACAGGTCCTCACTGAAAGTGACCCAGAGAGCAGTGCTACATTTCCAGGTATCTTGGTACTAGATGGAGAGATGATAAACCCACGTCTCTTTATTCTTCTGGTTAAGGCTTAAAACAGTTTTTTTGTTAGTAGTTACTACATGCAAACTTACTGAATTTATTTTGTTTTAGAAATATTTTGGAGTATATGCAAAAGGGAGGCAAGATACTCACCATTAGGTATCTGGATAGAGCTCTCTGGGCTCCACTCACTCCAGAATCCATGGTCTGGCTTGCAGCGAACCTGGACAAGGTATTTCTGTCCTGGGTATAAGCTGAGAATCTTAAACTGAGTCTGCTGTCCAGCAAAATGAGTCTAGGGACAAACAAGGAAGATAGAAGTCATTCCCCTAGATAATAAACTATTGGAGAACCGAGGCCAGCAGATTCAATTTTGTAGATAAATCTCTGTTCTTCTCACCATTCCACCCTCCTAGCTCATCTTTTCCTCCTCACAGGGCTCACACAAAAATTAATGGGTTTTCTACCTCTTCATGGGGAACTCTATTGACATAGAGTCAACTATTCTGCTTCCTATTCTCTACCCACTTCTAAATTCTACTTTATGGAAGACAACCAGTGAATACAATTGAAAAGTGGCTATTTTGTCAACCCTAATGACTTTATTGATTCATATTACCAATTAGCTAAAGCCCCTAGGTGAAAGAGAACAGGGCCTTCAGGTTTATTGAAACAATAGCATACAAGCAAAACAATCAAGGGATGAAGTCATCATCTCTCTGATCCCAGAATCAGCCTTAGCATCATTTCTGGTGGGTTAACCAGATGATTTCCATCTCCTGGCATGAGGCACCTACAATCACTTCTGAAGTATTCTTGCTAAAACTTGTTCAACCCGAACCTGATCAAATTTCTAGATCTAATTGTATGGTTACAGGAAATACAGGGCCAGAGAAATTAGCCAAATGACCTCACAGAGAACTCATTAGACGAATGCAGAAGGTGGGCCATTCTATAGGACAAATGACCCACTCTCCCGAGTATGTTGAGATGGAAGCGACAGAACAACCAGCCACGTGTGGTCTTGGAGTGGATTCTGGTTTGAACAAACTAGCTGTTAAAGGTATTTCTGGAAGTAATTGGGGGAATTAAAATAAGGACTGGCTCTTAAATGTTATTAAGGAACTTTAATTAATTTTCTTTGTGTAGCCTTATTATTTTGGCTATGTTTGGAAATGTTCCCTTTTTAAAAATTTTATATTGCTATCGTTGCTAATGGGTTTGAGAGTATCTTTTTTTAAATTGAAGCATAATTAACATAGAGGTGTTACATTAGTTTCAGGTGTTCAATATAGTGGTTCAACAGTTCTATACATAACTCAGTGCTCATCACAATAAGTTTACTCTTGGGGCGCCTGGGTGGCTCAGTGGGTTAAGCCTCTGCCTTCGGCTCAGGTCATGGTCTCAGGGTCCTGGGATCGAGCCCCGCATCGGGCTCTCTGCTCAGCGGGGAGCCTGCTTCCTCCTCTCTCTGCCTGCCTCTCTGCCTGCTTGTGATCTCTCTCTCTGTCAAGTAAATAAAATCTAAAAAAAAAAAAAAAAAAAAAAATAAGTTTACTCTTAACCCCTTCACCTATTTCATCCATCCTCCCACCCACCTGCCCTCCAGCAACCACCAGTTTGTTTTCTGTATTTGAGAGACTGTTTTTTTGTTTATCTCTTTTTTTGTTCATTTGTTTTGTTTTTAAATTCCACATACGAGTGAAACCAAATATTCCTTTTTTTTCTTTTTATATTTTAAGTAGGTTCCATACCCAGTGTACGGCTAGAACTCACAATCCTGAGATTAAGAGTCACACACTTCACTGCCTGAGCCAGCCAGATACCCGTCAAATGTTCCCTTTTTAAAAGAGAATATACAGGGAAAGGGAGGAAAAGCTGAATTGGAAGAAATCAGAGAAGGAGACAAACCATGAGAGACTCTGGATTCCGGGAAACAAACTGAGGGCTATGGAAGGGGGTGGTGGGCGGATAGGGTAAATGGGTGATTAAGGAGGGCACGTGTTGTGATGAACACTGGGTGTTATAATGCAACTAATGAACCGTTGGAGACTACATCAAAAACTAATGATGTACTATATGCTGGCTAATTGAACATAACAATAAAAAATAAGAAAATAAAATAAAAGAGACACAGACTAAAATATTATATAATATTATAATACTATAAAATATTTAAGAGTAGACTATTATAATGCCTATAATTTACTGTATTATTTCTTCTTTACATTGAAGTATTTGCAAGTGAATAAAAATACCATTGATCACAGACTGGTTACACTGAGACTTTTTCCTCCTATTTAGTGCCACATAAGTACACTCACAAGTATCTCAAACTAAGATATCCTGAAGGACATGGGTTGGAGATTGGGTGAAGGACACTGTTCAGTGCAAGGAGCTAGCTAGCCCTGGGAGAGTATGGAGATGACCTTCATCAATCCCAGTGGAGGTGAGGAGGACCATCCATGCCAGGGTGGGTCACATCAGCATTGAGAGGGCAACAGGGTTACTCAAAAATGAGGAGGAACAACCTACTCTCAGTGCGAGGGCTTCACCTTTGCCAAGGACAAGGTTCTTTCCAAAACCTTCTAGTTGACTTACCTCCCACTCAGTTGCTTTCTCGGGTTTTAACCGAATTTCATACTGGAGTGTGAGCCAACCAGATCTAACATCAACCAGGGTGGGTGGGTACCATTTCATCCACAGGTATGTTTTTTTGTCTTCTGGCTGTTTTAATTCCAAAGTTAGGTTCACAGGAGGGTCTGGTTCAACTGTAGACAGGAAAGAAACTCCATATTTAGTAAAAGTGGTATCTGAACACAGAATGACATGTCTTAGAGGGGGCTCTCTCTACTGTTTCACTCTACTGTGGTTATGAGACTCTTGGCATTTGGTATCAGGTGCTGGTCAGCAGAACTGGGGTTAGGTTGAAGCAAGCACAATGCAAAATTTAAGAAGGCACACATGACCAACAAGGACAGGAAAGAGGCTCAAAAGTCATTGAGAAATGAAAGTCAAAACCACAATGAGATACCGTCTCATACATGCTAGGATGGCTAGAATTCAAAAGGCGAAAAATACTAAGTGTTGGTGGGATCACTGGAGAAAGTGGCACCCTTGTACATTGCTGATGGGAATGTAAAGTGGTACAGCCACTGTAGAAAAAGTCTGGATATTCCTTAGAAAGTTAAATGTGCTATTACCATGTCACCCATCAATTTCACTCTTATGTCTCTACCCAAAACAACTGAAAGCAGGTGTTCAAACAAAAACTTGTACCTGATTGCTCATAGTACACTATTCACAGTAGCCAAGAGGTGGAAACAACCCAAATGTCCACCAATGGATGAATGGATAAATAATATCCATTATCGTGGGACATGATTCAATCATTAGAGGGAAGGAAGTACTGATACATGCTAGAACATAGATGAATCTTAAGAACATTATGTGAAGTGAAAGAAGCCAGACACAAAAGGCCACATACTCTATGATTCCATATACTTGGAATATGCAGAATAGGCAAACCTTTAGAGACAGAAAGCAGACTAGCGGTTGTTCTGGGGCTAGGATAAAGCAGGGATTCCAGAGTAACTGGTTAATCGTTGTGCAGTTGCCATCCAGAGTGATGAACGTGTTCTGGAGCTAGAGAGTGAAGGGTGCATAGCCGTGTGAATGAACTAACACCACCGGATCACACATCTTAAAATGGCTAAGATGGTGAATTTTATGTTATGTGTATTATGCCACACACACACAAAAATAAGAAGGCACTTACTTTCAGATTCCTGTAAGTACAGCTGTGTGACTATCCCCTGAAGAGTGCCTTGTGTACCAGCTTGTCTTGCCCTAATCTCTGTCCTGCTGGTCAGTAGTATTTTCTCGCTTCATTTATTACCTCCTCAAATAAGTCTCTGTGCCAGGGGGGATGTGAGTGTGATTGTAGTGTATTGGGCATTATAACCTACAGTTGCCTAGAAAAGTGGACTTCAGAAAATCTGCCACTAATCCTAATGCTTATATGTCACTAAGTAATACCTACGAAAAATCATTTTATATGGACTTACTAAACCAACCTGAGAAACGCTTTTGATCAAAAACTATTGGTACAAAACCACCAGCAAACTGTTTAAGCTAAATCCTTTAGAGCAAAGTTTCTCAACCTCGGCACTATGCATTTTGGACCAGACAGTTATCTATTGGCGCGTTGGGGTGGGTGGGAGGGATGCTGTCCTGAGCTCTCTAGTGTGCCTTGTGGTGTTTCTGGCCCCTACCCATTAAATGTCAGCAATACCCCGAGCCTGCCCCCCTAGGCTGCAATCATTGGAGAGGTTTCCTGTCATTGCTAAATATCCTGGGGGAGACAACACAGCCCCAAGTTGAGAATCACTGCTTTCAACCATCTTCAACAGTGCTAAATGTAATTCAACAGCAGTAGCAACAAGAACAGTAACGAAATCTATTTCTGAGAGATTACCTGCCAATATTGTCATTCTGAACATTCTGGGTTATCCCTGGCTGATCGAGAAGGTACTGTGGTTAATACTGATTTAAAAAATAATCTCATGCTGGCACCACACCCAGCTCAGAGCCTAACTTGGGGCTTGATGTCACAACCCGGAGATCATGATCTAGCTGAAATCAAGAGTCCGACATTCAACTGACAGAGCCACCCAGGCGCCCAGCACTGATTATTAAATGAATTCTATGGCTTGTCACCAACACTGTGTGCTGTAGGGTCATATGAGAGTTCCATTAACCCTCCTATTTTTTGGGAAATAGGGGCCAGCACTTTTTCACCAGAGAAATTGTTTCCCAGAGCTCATGTGAAATTGGTGCCCTCATCAATTTCACTTTTTAATGCACTACTTTTTAGTGATTCTGTTTTTGTGCATGCATGTGTGCATGTGTGTGTGCTTGTGTGTGTGTGTGTGTGTGTGTTTGTGTGTGACTACTTTCATTGTAGCAATGGCTCCTTCCAGAACTTCTTTTGCCTTTGCTGTTTTGTCCTCCTATGTTCAATCCATAAGAGAGAGCCTGAGACAAAGGGATTACTTGGGGGGCGCCTGGGTGGCTCAGTGGGTTAAGCCTCTGCCTTCAGCTCACGTCGTGATCCCAGGTTCCTGGAATTGAGCCCCACGTTGGGCTCTCTGCTCACTGGGGAGCCTGCTTCCCCCTTTCTCTCTCTGCCTGCCTCTCTGCCTACTTGTGATATCTGTGTCGAATAAATAAATAAAAAAGTATTTTAAAAAAAAGGGATTACTTGGCATTTATCATCTTAAAGACTTTGAATCTCAAGTAATTTATATGACCGGAATTTATTTTATTCCTACTTGCCACTGGAGTTGCTTTTCTGAGTTTTTAAACTAAGCTCAAATTCAGTTTCCACCCCCAGGCTCATTCCAGTGATTTGCTGCAAGAGAAAATATTCAAGTGTGTACTGGTTGGTGTTGGAAGCTTTTCCAGTTTTTAAGGATAAACCACTGATAACATGCCATGGGGATGATATGCAAGTGAACACTTGAGAATCCTAATCTGATTTTCCTTACTGAGTGGCGTTAGGTAAATCTGGAGGACTTGGGTAACCATGAACCTAATTAGCTACTCCCTAGATTATGATGCAAGATGAGGGCTGAACCCTGGCCTGGCCAAGCCATCTCTTGTCCTAAGATTCCCTTTTTCAGCCCTGCCACACTGTCCAGGCCACAGCAGTGATGCCTAATTACCCTGCAACTCATGGTTGATCGTGTAAAGCCAGAAGCAGCGTTTGGGTTGACTTTGTTTTGCTTTGCTAATGATGTCTCCAAACATTGTACTTGTGATCTTGGCCTTCAGACTGCTGTTCAAGTAGTAGTATTTACTCCCCAAATTATCTTTAAAATAATAGCTCCAGTTACTAAGAAGCACCTGTATATTGAGGACTGAATTTGGGGCAAATTAGTTGGCACAATCCCTGTGGGTGCAGAAGCAAATGAACACCTTCTAGGAGCTACTCCCTGCAGGAGCTCTGTGTTTCATGGGGAGAGAGAAAGTCAGGGAGAAGGGGACATTGGTTGTGGGAGGAGGGCTGGAGGGAAGGAGTGATAAGGCACGCATAAATAGAACATTCCTTCTGGATGCAAGAGGATGAGAAGAAGGCTCAGGGAAGGCACAGAAACATAAGGATCCCAAGTCCCAGTCCTACTCCCATGAATGACTTGATAAAAATGGGTTTGAAAAACCAGTTGAGAAAGATACTGAAAATTTTCTTCTTTCTTTCTTTTCTCCAAAAGCCAAGAGGACTCAAGCTGAGTCCCACCACTGGTAAATCCATAAGGGGTAACCCATTCCTGACCTGTTGTCGCCTTTTGTCTTACCTATGTAAGTCACGTCCACATAACGTGGATCCGAGGAACTGCTTCCCATCTGGTTTGTGGCATTTATTGTGATGATGTACATCGTCCATATGGAGGTGTGCTTCTTGTTGAAGTAACAGGAATTGGGGCCACTGGTTATGTAATCTGGACATTCATGTGTGGTTGTTTCTCTGCAATGAGTAGTGCATTAGCAGCAAATAAGGAAGCAGTCAACAGAGTTTAGTCTCTTTCTGAGTAGATCAGTAACACTGGCTTTTGGGGATCAGACATTCAAAATATAAGAACCAGAGCTGAGGAACAGCTCCCCAAACGTCTGCGTCCTGCCCATGTCAGCTGGGGGTGAGACAGGGGAGAGGGTGCTGGAGATGGTAGAAGGGTTACGTTAGATCCTCAACGACTCTGCTGCTCATTGACACCTACCTTCCATAGGTTTTTGTGGGCTTTGTGCTATATGCCCCCTGTCAATAAGTGCTTGAGCTCTCAATGGCCAAGGCCCAGCCCTGCCCAGGGAATGGCCACTGGTCATGTTAGGACTCGTGACCCTCCCCTATACATACACCGGGGGCCGTGCACAATGTGGCATTTACCGTGCACATGTGTTGAATTACATTTCACTTAAAGAAGATGAAAGAGGGTAAACATTGCTGTCAGTCTATTTCAGGTGGCCTCAAGTCAACAAAAGAGTAACATGACTAAGAAAGGGGCCATTTCAGGACCAGGAGGCCTCCTTAGGCTGACCCCTTGTAGACATCAGGGCCTCAACGCAAGACCCAGCATGAGGTGTGAAAGCTTTCTTAGCTTGGTTGCCAGTTTGAGTCCCTGAACTCAATTTACATGATACCTCTCTGGGTCACACAAGGGACGACAGCGTTGCCTACAACAAAGTGTTATTTTTGGGATGTGGGCCAGGTGTTGCAACAGGTAAGTGTTTTCTTCTCTGGGGAAGGATACAGCCTTCCTGGGCTTTCCAGGACGGTTTCATTGTGAGTAAAGCAAAACCCCGCCCAGAGAGGCCCTTGTTTAGCCCTCGACGCCACCCTAGGTCCACATATGCCTTCTGGAAGATCAGAGATCCTGGCTCAGCAAACACTAAGGAAACATCCTTATCTCCCTTCGCTTATAGGGCTCTTTACTTTCTCCGTCACGGAACAAGTTTGAAAACCTAATGTACCGTGGTGGTTACAGATTACACGATAATCCTCTGAGATTGCGAAAGTAAAGAACGGCCCAAGATTTACATCTAAAGATGACTAGCCTTTAGGAAAGATCAATATGTGACCTTGGGCTACAACCTAAGCTTGGGACAGACACTAGGAATAATGCTGGGTTGTATTGCTGGGGTGTTGGATGACCTTATACTCATGGAGAGAGCTCCTCAAGGACATTAACCAGAGACTGTAGACACAGGCAGTGGAGTTCTTTTCCCAGGTGGTAGGAGCCTTACTAGTGCCAATTCAGGGAAGTGTGGTAATTCTAACTTTGGGCCCCAAGATTGAGAGCAGTCATGTGGGGGTTGATAGGAGAGAAGAAAACTTCTTACCCTTCCTTGTGATACGTCAGCGTGTAATTAGTGGGAAGTCCTCCATCTTCCCCAGCTTTCCACCAGCAGGTGAATGTTTCCTTTTCAGGAGAACGGCATTTAGAGATCACAGGTTTTCCAGGAGGTGATTGTCCTAAAATGATCCAGAAGTCATTTGAGAATAAGGTGCATTCAACTGACCCTCCTACTGGTGACAGAAGCAGAGTGATGGGACCAGGTCAGTGATGAAGTGATGAAGTTTGGGATGAGGGGGCATAGGGGTGGGGGGCTCAGAAATACCAGCAACATTCCTCTGTGGGCTGCCCTGATGTTGGCAGGACTGAGAGAGAAAGAGAGCGAGAGCGAGAGAGAGAGAGAGAGACCTGCGTGTGTATGTGTGTGCATGTATGTTTGTGCATGTGTGTGTGTCTTGTGAGGCAGAGATGGCTACTAACCAGGACCGGTGACTAACTGTAAAGTTCCAACAGGATGAACATCAAGGGTGGGCTGGATATGTGTAGACAAAAGGGTATGTGGCCCTTCCATGATCCCAGAGTCTATGCAGTTGACATCTTCCCATAGTAGAAGGGTGACCATGAAAAGCATTCTGCCCCAGTCACAGGAGTCCTGGGACACTTTGCTGACACATTGCTCTCTAGCACTTCTCCATCCACTCACAAATCTCCATCCTTCTGCCATTCCCACACAATTAACTCAATCCGGGACCTTCTGTTTTCTTCTTTGTATCGCTGACACTCCTTTGGCTGCTTCCCCCTACCCCCCATCTCCTCCTTTCCTTCCTGTTTCCCTTCACTTTCCCTTGACTCCATTTGGCTTTGATCTCTGACCCAGTCTCACCGTCTGTCTCGTCTATCTCCTCATTCTCCTGCCCCCATTTCTGATTCTCGTTTTTTAGTCCCTTTTGTCTTGTATTTCCCCCTTCCCTCTTGGTTCTTTTTGTGGTGAGGTGGCAAAGGGCTTCCTTGCATTTCTATGACCCTTTTTGGGGTGGGAGGCATGGTAGGAGGTGGCGGAGTGACTCGCTGCTCTTCTGGTTACCAGCTACCATTATTATCCAAGAGCCATATCTGACCCCAGTTGGAAGCTAGAAGGTGATGTGGAAAATACAATGTCAAGAGGATGGGGTTTTTCAGTTGCTTAATCCCCAAAGCTCTTGGTCAACTGCCTTGACCCCCTTCCTTGTCTGTCAGGTCCAAAGAGGAAGAGGGTGGCCCTGGGCTTTTGCCTTGTGCCTCCTGCTAGGCAGCAGCCCCATTGTGCCCATCCACATAACTAACCCCAGGCCATATTCTTCTTGGTCGAGTTGGATGCCTGACTGTTTAGTTCAAGAAAATCAGCAGCAGAGAGGAGAGCTTTTGAAAGGTGTCAGTCTCGGCAATTTAGAGCAGGGGTTTTTCTCTGTTTTCTCTTATACTTGTCTCCCCTGTCCCCGACCACTGGCTCCTAGGCCACAAGTTCTCTCTGAGCACCAGATCAGAAAGATCAAGTCTGGAGGAGAACATGCATGGGAAGAGGGGACCCCAGGCAAAACTGGCCAGAAAGAAGAAGTTCATGGAATGATATGACAGTGCACAGGCTGGGGCTGAGGACAGCAGGCCGATCTTGTCAGTGGGAGCTAGAGGGTAGCTTAGCTACCCCCAAAACCATCAAAGGATTATAGGAAATCTTAAAACTCCATGCCAGCCAGCGTGGGGTTAGGTCGGCCAAAATCTGTAACATTGTTTATGCTCCAGGAAAAATTTCTTTAGGATAATCTCATAGGTTGAAGTGATTTGTTTGTTGTGTGTGTGGGTTTTATTTATTTATTTATTTGTTTGTTTATTTGTTTTTTTGTGGCTGGGAATGAGCATGTGGGGCAGAAAATTTTTTTTTCTTTTTTTAAAAACCCCAAACCCTATGGCAATAATGAGCATCCGCAGAAGCCAATTAAGGCCACTGTTGATTATTTGAGTACTTCAAGTTTCCCTATGGATTATGCTGATCTCTGCTGTCCTTTTTCTCTCTCTGGAAGCTTATCTCTTTCACATTTCACTGGTTATTCATAGTACCTCTAGGACATTTGGGAGAGGAGAGCACAGTTGTGAAATTACAATTAGTCAAATGTTCCTTTCACTCACTTTAGCAGGGATAGTGAAAATGAATGGACTGTCTCACTATTCGTATAAAATGCACACAGACAGAAGGACAACCACATAGATACCATACCCACAGGTACATATGTATGTCCACATTAGAGCCCATCTCACAAACACACAGACAGCCCCCCGCCCCCACATATATGCAACTGCATACTAGGAAGCCCACTTGGAAAATACATGGAAATATACTGGTACACAGGGATACACTCACAGATGGATACTCACACTGGTATACACAGAGAAGCATTTGCAATCAGATACACATGGAAAAGTTAGTACACATAGAATTATATATAAAAGTATCCCCACCCAAAAATACACAGAGGTGGGCACACAGAAATGTACATACGCCAGCTTGCACGCTCTGGTTGTGAACTTCATCTCTCCCATTAGCACAGGTAATAGAGTTAGCTATATGTTTCCCATCATAAAACAGCAATCCCTTTTATCTCTTTACTGTTCTTCAAAGATTTTCCACATACATCACTTCATCAGAGGTGGAGGGAACATCTTTGTCCTCACTTTGAAAATGTGGAAACCCAGAGAGATTAGGTGATGGGCTCAAGGTCACATAGCCAGTAGTAGCTGACAGAAGCCGGACCCAGAGTCTGGTCTTGTCATTCATCCAAGCTGCTTCCCTGAACTCACGGAGTGAGGATAGAAGGCAGAGCACAGAGACACACTTTCGCATTCATTGCCTTCATTCTTTTGCATTAATTTCTGCATTGATTTTAATGCCAAAAATATTGCAAATAATTTAACAGCAGCAAGTGGCATTTCCATTGCTTGTAACTGCAGGGCTAGCTAGACTCCCCATCCTCTCGAAAAACACCCCAGGGAATTAGAAAGAGCAGGACAGCTCCTTACTTACCATTCAGAAGACCGGTGTTGAGAAAAAGTAGCAAAAGGAAAACAACGGTGGATGCCACACTTTCCTTCATTTTGGCTCCTTTCTCTTTCTACAGGAAATGTATCAGACGTTCTCTGAAAGAGAAGGCACCAGGCAACTTTTGTAAAGCAACAGGCTGGCCAGGCACATGCACTACTTTACTCTGGGTATTTGCAACTGATCCTTGCTCCTTGCTTAATGTGAATGACAAAACAGGAGGAAAGGAATGTAAGAAAATGTAACATGGTTGAATGGCTTGGCTCAGACGCACCCATGCACACATGCTAGGAAAAATTCTACCACCAGAGGTCATCAGATGACAATGTTCAAGGGCAGCCGCGGGGCAGCGCTCCTGCGCGCAGACCCCCAAGAAAAACTGTCCTCTTTCCACCCTTTGGTCACTTAACCATATATCACCCATTTTATGCGACACAGATTGCATGCCCTACAAGAGAACCATTCTGGGAGGGCTTTGATCCAACAGCCAAAAATAAGTCCGCACACTCAGTAAGTAGCCTCAGTATGAATTCAACCTGGTCTCATGGATGCCAAGTGTGGGGGGAAGGGCTGTGTTTCTCTGAAAACGTAGGCTGAGCAAGAAATTTGCTGGGCTATGGGCATAACTGTGAACCACACAGTGAACTCCAGTGAACCTCCATGTGCTTTCCTTCTCCTTTTTCAACCAACGACAAACCCCAGTAATAATTCAAATCCTTGGTTTTGGAGCATTAAGTAAATTTTCAACCTGCGGGGGTTGAGAGTTTTGAACAATTTATTACTAATACTATTGTTTTTACCCTTGGAACCAATTTCAAAGCCTCTAAGTGTCCTTTTGAGAAGAAAACATTTTTAAAAGACATTTGAAAAAGGTTCATTAGTCTTGTTGGACTCCAAAAAACTCTCAGAAAACAACAGATTTGATGAACTAAGTGTAAATTCTTGGAAACACATGGCATATATTTTCTTTTAAATCTTATGATTTTTTAAATTTTTTAATTTTTATTTATTATTTTTTTAATAAACATATATTTTTATCCCCAGGGGTACAGGTCTGTGAATTGCCAGGTTTACACACTTCACAGAACTCACCATAGTAAATCTTATGATTTTTATAACTCAAGGGAAGACCATCCAGAGGCAAGGCTGCTCTTCTTGAGACATCTGAAATGGCTGGGTGTTGTTTGATGAGCCCTGAAGAGACCAGCCTTCGCCCATCCCTCTTGGCCAGAGCTGGTTCCCCGTGTCCCAGCTGGACACCGCCTCATGGACAGCTTCGAGGAGGCCGTCTCTACCTGCTACCACCCCCTCTGAGACCTACTTGGAAATAGAAATCTTAGTGACAACAGAGATTTGGGGCAACTAGACACCATCAAGTCCTCTCTTCTATTGGGCTCCCGTGAGGAAGCCATGATGTTGTTCTCTGGGAACCTTCTAGTTGCTCTTCCAGGAATCCTTCCAAATGCCTTCCCTTCCCCAGGTTGCACTCTCTGAACTACCTTGGGTCATTCAATTTAAATCAAGTTGCTAAAAGGTTCACCAGGGGTGTAATCATGCCTACGGTGTCTGGAGCACTTACTACGGGCCAGACTGTGCTAAGTGTCCTCATCATTTGTTTCCATTCAGCCCTCACGATAGCCCCATGAGTGGCACAGACTATTACCTCCCCTTTGAAGAGGTGAGGATCTTGAAGCACAGAGAGAGTTAGTAAATTGTCAGTCCCATGCCAATGGGAGGGAGAAATGTAGTAAATCTGAGAGCATCTGAGAATAATCTTGATTTGCAGACTGTGATGGACAGTGCAATGATCCCTCCTTCTGGGAGGGGGTGGGGAGTGGAGAATGGAGACAACAGCAATGGACCCAGACCTGAGGGAACAGCATGCCAGGCCTTGAGCAGGCATGGAGTCAGGAGAGCCGGAGCTCAGAGAATTCACCTCAGCTGCCAGTCCTATATATGTCTGGGGCTCTCAGAAACTTTGCTCCCACAAATATGACTTCATTAGGTCTATACAGCCCTGGAAGACTTCTTTGTCTTGGAGATCTGATCACCTCATCCTGGCTTAGGGATGGGATTTGGCCCCATGGCCAAAGAAGTTCTAGAATATCCTTTTATTGAGACTTCTCTGCTCTTTTGGGCATTGCCTCAAAATGTTTGAGATCAACATGCTGTAAATCACAATTTTTAGGCAAGGTCAGATGCTGTCTGGACAGCTCTACCAAATCAGGGCCGCATGTGTTTGGCAAAAGAAATGGCTAGATGGGGAGAGCAGGGTGGGGGCGGGAAAAGCAGGCATTACCATTGCTCATGCTTCCTGGTGTGCTGGCCCAGGCTCAAAGAAACTCTCTTAAAAGGAGTTTTCCTATAAGAAAGCTTTTAGGAAGTATTTTATGGGCTAAAAAGCAAAGCAAAAACAAAAACCCATTTCCCCAGGGGATTTCCTGCACTATCTTGGAATCTGGTTAATAACCACCATGCATTTTCTGGTGTCTTGAAATCCCCATTCCAGGGAATTAGATCTAGTGGTGGTGTTCCTGTGTTTCAGCAGTGGTTTCTCAACTCATGCTGCATCTTAGCCCCCGGCAGGTCAAACGCAGTGGGCTAGGTAAACCTTCACGGAGAAAGGTGATCTTGACTGCTAACTCCAGAGGGAGCTATGCTGGATGTTAACCTGGGTCACGTATTGTGCTTTCTTCCAGAACCAAGCATACCACCTGCTTGTCCACTGACCAATGTTTAGGGCTGGTGGATACTAGGCTAGGGATAAATTTGTTTTTTGTTTCTTTAAGCCTCCCCCTGGCTACCCAGCCCCCACTGCAAGTGAGATCTTGATCAAAGGCCTCCTTGCCCACAGCCTGCTTTCAGTGATGGTTATGGGGGCAAATTGCTCCAAATATTTGGACTTCAATTAAGAAAAAGTCAGCCCCATACCTCAGTTCAGGACAATTATCTTGGCTTCAGTCCTCACTAGCTCCCTGGGTTCAGGAGAACCCATGTTCACATCATGTGATTGAAACACGCAAGACTCCGGACTGAAGAGCAGGTTTGTAGGAAGTCAGCACCTTGCCTGTGATCAGCTGCCTTGCTTCTGAATCCTCAGAGACCACCTTCCCACCCCCAACTTTGTGGTCCTCCCATTATCTTATTCAAATATACCTTCCCACAGTGCTATGTCCCACTGTGGTATGATCTCCATAAAATCCTCTGACTTCCCCATTTCACTCTGCATCAATGCTGATCCTGCCCAGGCCCTCTTTCCCAGAAGCGTCCCTTCATCACCCTCTTCCATTAAGCCAAGTCTCTTCTACAGAGGCCAAGAGTTGAAAAAAGGAATTTTATGCCTCACAGCTTGCTTTTCAAGGAAATAAGAGCTACTTTTCCTGGATGGAAAATCAGGGCCATGGTCCCACAGTGTGTGCTGATCCCACTACCCATGGTGGAAAGGGTCAACCATAGGAGGGGAGGCAGTGTGGCTCAGGAGAGTAAGAAGTAACAGATCTGAGCTCCCAACACACCATTCCCCACTGTCTATCCACTGGCAGACCCACTCTGTGCCCACCATCTGCATATTCTGGCCCACTCAGGCCCAGATCAATTCTGAATGTCAGGAATCTCAGCTCTATCATTTTGTGTGACTTGCTTCCCAAACCTGGTGATCCCCTAAGTGAGAGAAGTCCCCACCTTGTCCTGCCTCATCTGCCCCTATTGCTCCAATGTTCTAATCAGATTTTTGATCCAGTTCCCTTGACTGTAGAAATGGACCTACTATGCTAGGCAGTGACTCTGAGGACCTACCTAGCTATGGCAAGCTCAATTTCTGATGGATAAGTAGGGCCCAGGGCAAGATTTGGATTTCTTTTTTCCCTCACTCCCTTCCTTTTAAAGATTTACTTATTTATTTAAGAGAGAGAGATAAAGAGAGAGAAAAGAGGGAGAGCCAGAAGGAGAGAAACTTCAATCAGACTCCCTGCTGAGTGGGGAGCCTGATGAGGGGCTCAATCCCATAACCCACGAGATTGTGACTTGAGTTGAAACCAAGAGCTGACACTTAACTGACTGAGCCACCCAGGCGCCCCAGGATTTGGATTTCTTTCAAGACCATCACACATAAGATATGCACAAATTGTAAGTATTATGTTTAATTAATTACTGCAAAGTGGATATGCCCATGTTATGACCAGGTCAACAAACAGAACACTAACAGTACCCCCCACCCCCCTGGTGTCTCCCCCTGGTCTCTACCTCACCCAATAGAAACCATTCTTCTGATTTATAACATCACAGATTACTCTTGCCTACTTTTATACTTTATAGAAATGTAATCATACAGCATGCCTTTGTGAGCTTCCCGTGTGTCTGGCTTCCTTAATCCCACACTGCTCTATGACTCATCTTTCTATACACAGTTCTACGAAGTTCATTTTCACTTCATCTCATTTATCTTGTTTCATATTATGTGGAATGAAAGACCATTATCTATTTGTCCTACTCTTGATGGACATTTGACTCATTTCCAGGTTTTGGCAAACCTGGATTTTGATAAGACTGATCAAGACTCAGATGGCAGGACAGATACTGTGTGACTTCTCTTATACGTGGAACCTAAAATAGAAATCTATCTATCACCAATCTATATCTATAAAACTAAGCTCATAGATATGATGTCAGAGGCAGACGGGTGGGGGGGTAGGGAAAAATGGGTGAACTGTTTTTTTCTTATTTGTTTGTTTAAATAAACTGAATAAAAGACATATGAAATTAAAAAAAATTGATGAAGCTCCTAGTTTTAAGTGGATAAATTTACATTACTTACCAAAAAGGAAAGAAATTTATATGCTACAATTTTGTAGCATATAAATTTGTTGAAACAATAAAAAGAGTAATAAATAAGAACAAATGACCTGATGAGTTTTGTTGTATAAAATGTGTTTCAAGGAAGTTATTCTAAATGGAGACAAAAATACAAGACTTATTACAATTAGTGACCTTAAATATTTAAATTTTTCAATAAGAAAGAAATTGGAACAGAAAATATCACCCATTTGTTGTATTTTTCTGAGCTTACTTGATATGTCATAAAGAGTATTTTCACAATTAAGAATGTTGCGTATTTTCACAATTAAAAACGTGGGTAAGAATCAATTGCAAATTTCAACACTTCTGAATAAAGAAACTTTGAATAAAAATACAGGACATTGGTGGTGCCTGGGTGGCTCAGTGG